TATTGGATTTTTACGTTTTTGACGGTCATAGAATGAAACACGTCATGTCGGAAAATTTACCAAATCTAAGCCTAAAATTATATTTCATCAAGATCAGTTTATTTTACATGTGTTGACTCAAAATTTGCCCCAAAAAAAATCAAACCTTAGCTTGAACTGGATTCTGTAAAAAAAAATAAAATCTTAAATTCTTCACTCCTCAGCTCAACCAGAAAGCCATTAGTTACTCAGCTGTAACCAACTGTCATGTGACTTTTTGGATGAACTGCAGGCTGTGCTTACACACAGCAGATAGTATGAAAACTAATTCAAAATGTAAATAGTAAAATATGTATCAAATAAATAAATACATAAAGTACGAGTTCAGGTTTTAACCATTTTTGTAAAATACATAATCCAAGAACTTCCACTATTTCTTTTCTTTTTATTTCTTATTTATGGCGGTCTAACTGTGGCATACTGTACAGAACACATTTCTGAGTTCCCTCTGCTTCTAGTCATGGCTGTGCTGTTTCCATCGAGGTGCAGGACTTTATATTGCTGTGAAACATTAACCCACAGTGAGTAAAAATGCACCAGGAGTGAAGAAATGCCCAGAAACTGCTTGAGATTCAAATGGTTATTAAAACAAAACACAAATAAATGAGAAAATGCAGAGTTTCCCGCAACTGTAAACTCAATTCAAGTTTCTTAAATGTCAAAATAACACACCCACAAAAGAAATACAGAGGATAGTTTACGAGTGTTCAACCAGTTGTGGTTGTTTAGCGTGAACCATATTTCATGCTTTTATGACAATATGGCAGCAGAGAAATGCTCAGACAATGCACGAGTTAATAGTGAGAGAACCACAATGAGCTGCGAGTTTGACTTTTATGGAACGCTGTGATGTTCGACAGAAGTGCAAAGCCGCAGTAGAAACAAAACCCTTCTCGCTTCTCTAATTAAATGCATCATATTTTGCAAAATGAAACTGTGAGGACAGAAAACTGAGTCGTTGATCGTCGTCTGTGGCCTGAGAGAGGGAGGTGTTTGTCCAGGGTGTTTAGTCGTAGGGAGTGTCAGCCTAAATCCTTGTTTTTCTGGTGGTTGTGTGTGAAATTTCAGTGCCGTCTCCACCTTACTGAGCCCAAACAGACTGTTTCTCCCTGTTTGTCGTTCACTCCCCTGCTCTCCTCCTGTTTAAGTCAAGGTTCAGGAATTTAAAGGAAATAGCTTCGGCCACTGGCCAGAGAGAGTCTGCTCACCACATCCACTGTCACACACATATATACACGCACAGGAATGTGTGGAGGAAGCTGCTCTGCTGTGTACTGATGTGTGGGCTGACATGATGTGCTGTGAATGCAGAGGAACAGACAAAGAGGCTGTTTGTGCAGGTCAAAATTACCGGGATTATAACGTGAGAGTGACACAAGGATCAAGACCAATTACGGGAACTGCGAATGAATGGAATTCATTGAAATAACGCTTTAAATGAGCCAAAACAATAAAAACTGAACTAAATTCTAAACTACCTGCAGCCTAATTAGCCTCAAGTAATTCAACATACAAAGCTCGTATTTGCAGCACTTTAAACAACTGTAACTTGGTTATTTTATACTGAAATGATCAGAACAGACTGAGAGCAGAACAGCTGCACAGATTCATATGATTTCTGAAACTATATCAAAAGGTGATCGTGGCACAAGAACTACTGAGGAATATAACAGAGACAAGTTGGCTTCTTTTAGATGATCTGATGCTCTGTTGCACAAACAGCTGTTTGCAAAGTTTATACTTGACTTTCTGGCACAAAATACAAGTGCTGGACCTGCATGTCCGGTCGTTGTGGTGGTATCTGGATAGCAATGCTGATATCCAGATATTTGGTCGCTACCCCTGCTTTCACTGTGGAATTATAGTAAAACTAAAAAGCAAAGAATTACTTAATACAAAAAAAGTAACAAAAAAAACTAACTTTCTCTGGGAAGAAGGCCTCTAAATGTGTGTTTTCACCAATTTCACACAATAACTTGGAAGTGGCAATAACGCCACCACTCATGGAACATCTTTTATTGTCTTGAAGTGAATCAGTTTTGACTGACTTTAAAAATGACCCAATTCCAAACAAGACAAGACAAGAAATCAGGTATAGAAACAGCCAGAAACACATCCAGAGAACATATTTCATATTTTAGACGTACTCACTTCTGTGACATACTGTGAGATCTAATTTCACACGTAATCTGTTGCTCTTGCTGCCAAACATGTTGGAGTAATGCTTAAGTAGCACTGGATATTGTGCAGCAAATGAACATTTTATTTATGAATTACTTTTAGCCATCTTTTAATTTTTTTAAACTTTTTTTTTTTTTTGTACTACATTTAACCCTGAATAACCATTTCATCCATTTCCTTTAGCTAATGATTCATTGCTGTAGCTAGCTATTCATTATGTTTAGCTAACTGTTTATTACTTTTAGTTAACTATTCATTATTTTTAACTTTGTTACTTTGAGCTAACTCCCCATTACCTTTAGCAAACTACTAATTACTTTTAGCTTACTATTTGTTACTTTTAGCTTACTATTTGTTACTTTTAGCTAACTATTTATTATTTTTTAGCTTTTTATAACTTTTAGTTGACTGTTCATTATTTATAACTAGCTATTCATTACTTAAATTCAACCATTCATTACTTTTAGTTATCTCTTTATTACATTAGGTAGCTATTACTGCGTGTAGCTAATTGTTCATTACTTTTCGCTAACTGTTACTTTTGACTATAACTTTTAGCCAACTATTTATTACTTTTAGTCTTTTATTCATTACCTTTAGCTAAATATTCATTACCTTTACCTAACTATGAATTACTTTTAGTCAACTGTAGTTTATCAACTAATTTGGTTATATAGGAGCATATAGGCCAGCTAATTGGCATGGTTCTCTGTTTTGTTTTTTAGATTTAATTTATTTTGTTTAATATGCAGCTATTATTTTGTAGTTTTCACTTTTTGTTTAATGTAATTACTTCACATATCCTAAAAAAGATATGAAACATGAAATAATAATGTTAAGGAACAGGAAATGCAAAACAATCTGCAAAACAAAATCTAGCTTTAATTGTATTTATTATACAATTTAACAGCTGTACCTCCACTCCATTGTCTATTTTTATACATGATGGAAGGTTTATTGTCCACCTTGGACTCCTTGTGGTTCTTAGCTTTTGAGTTTGATCTTACAAGGAGAGACGAGCCCAACTTCTAGATGCAAAACATGCTTTGAAAATTTGTTTTTCACAATTCTTTTTGTGTTTGAACTATCTGGTTAATGTCCCCTAATTTAAAGATTTGTAAAATCCACATTCAGGTGTTGCCTGTGATGATTTCATTCAGCTTAATTCATCCGTTTGCTGCAGACATGCGGGTGTATCAGTGTATCTGTGCATGATGTCTTCTGATTGCATGGCTGATGAAGGTGCAGTCTACACAATATTTAAATGCCATGCACACACACACATGCACACTCTCAGATTTGTTGCAAGCCGTGACACATAAAGAAAAAAGCTTGGGTCTCTGCCTGTATTTTGAAGTTCGCTGCTCTGTTGTGGTCACGGTCTGGTTGTCACCAAAAATTTCAGACACCTGCCAGAGATTTCACCCACCTTTCTCAGTTGCTGTGCAAACATGGTGGCGGTAGGAGCCTCACCAAGGGGATTCAGTATCTGTGTGTAAGTGATGCTAAAGTACCTGCACAGTGGGATTATACCGATAAGCTCGGCTTGGGGGGCAAATACCACCTGTCTTGTCATGTCCACAGGTGTGCAACATTTAACAGCACTGACCTCTATGTCAGTTTGTACACAGGTGTCCTTAACTCACTCATATCAAGTCAAGTCGTTGCTAAAACACTGTGTTTTCTCTCACACTCTGTCTTTTCATTCTCTCAGGTTGAAGGAGATCGACATGAGCGAGTACGAAGCTGAAACATACGAGCGATTCTCCAACGCTGTGAGGAGACAAGTTCAGTCGCTGCGCATCATCCTGGATAGTTTACAGGTCAGACTCACTCCTTGTTTGTTCCATTTTGGTTAGAACAGCTTAAACGTGATCCGCCCAAACTGTGCACTGAAATAAAGTCGCACAGTCTGTCCAGTTGTGGGGTCATAATGATGTCAGATGAATCAGTTGACCGAACGCAACCCCTCATTAGGTCTGAAAGCAGGGGCGTCTTCCCCCAGGGGAACTCTGATTGGTTTAAGTGAATGAAAATTAGGGAGCGGTGGTTAAATATCCAGGATGTCTCCATTTCATTATTTTGGTTTCCATCTTCCTCCCTTTGTTCGAGCGTCTCTGCCGCGTTTTCACGTGACGAGAGGAAAATCATGCAGCAGTGATTACAGAGCAGCCACACTGAGCCTCGCTCTATTATTCTCCCGTCCAGGTGTGAAGCTCTGTTTGCATGCGTTGTGGTGGGCGGCTGTTTGTGTGCGTGTGTTTGTGTTTTCCATCCAGGTGTTTGCAGCCTGGCTTTGAACGCTGGTTATTGTTTGTATTTGTCCTTGTAGCCCCGGGCTTGTAAAGATGATGGCGATTATACCTATCCCAGCAGGCGAGACGCTGTGAAGTCATGTTTTTTTTTTTTTCCATACCTGAAGAGTGATTTAAGACGTCTCAAACACACACACACACATACATGACAAACCATAGCTGGCAAGCTTTCAATAAACTGATAGCGTATTGTTTCCATCTGCTCGAGGCTCCCTGAGGGAAAGCCCTCGACATTTATCTCTCAACAATGGACCGGCTCGCCAGATATAGACACCTGGGCACATACTGTCAAGCATTCTCTGAGTTTAAAATTAGTCCCAAAAGGCCAGAAATTCACAGAGCGATTCATATTTGATTAGACTGTATGGCCTTAGGAATTAGGCAAATTACTCCTGCCAATATTTAAAAGAGCTCCAGAGATGTCCAGACCTGTTTGGAGTTCTCAGGAGATCATGCAGACATCCTGTTGGAGGAGTGCCATATCTCACACAAAGTTCTTTAAAAATTGGTGTAAAAATACAGAAATAAAGCTGAAATTTTTATGTAAAATGTCAAATTGAATGAGCTGAGCTTACAGAACAGGAAACAAAGCCTTATTTGTTCAAATATGTATGGTCTAGACTGTATTTCTGCAGTTTTTTGTACCCATGTGTTTAGTAAAATATAATCATAAGGTCTAAAATTTAACATTTTCCGTGACCAACTTTGTGCAGCATGCAAACAGAACACATGTCTGTCCACAGAAAACTTGGTCTGATGCAGCTTTGCAACAGTAATAAACTTGGGTCTGTCACAACAACATTTCAGCAACAATAAATCAGATTTTATTGCACGTACAGTGCCTGGGATAATTCCTTTTTCGTCCCTTTCTCCTCCTCTTAGTATGAAGTTATGGAAAAACAATGCAGAACAGCTTTGGTATGAGGTTTGTAAACAGTGTGATGAAATGAACACAGTTCAGATATTTTCACTTTGATGTGTTGAAATGTAATGCCTTTTGACATTCTGTTTGCATGTAATTTGTCAGTGTCAGTGTAATAATGGCATTTTGATCAATTATATTATAGAATGTAAGCCATTTACCAGTTGTGCTATCCTATTGTTGCACATGGAACCTGTCCAGAAAAGTCAGAAGTCACTGTGTGCACAGTTTCATTCAGGTTCATTAAGCGTAGGAACAGATAGAGTTACTGACCTGCCTAAAGAGACATCACTGTATTTATTGTGTGGTTTAGGCAAGACTGAATACAAATCCTTTGTAATGTGTTATTGTTTTTCAACGGCAACATTACTAAGTAAATATCCTATATTTGCCTAATCTTTACTCTGTGGCAGAGGAGCAGAGAGGAAGTTTTTTTTTTTCACACTGAAACTGGGTTCAGGAAGCTTGATGATTAACTGTCTAGTTGTACAATGAATACAGAGTGTTTTCTGTCCTTGTTAAACTTTAAGTGAAATTCCAAAGAATGATACCTGACTGCTTGATAAATAGACACTTTCAGTTTAGGTAAGATCTTTTTAGGCCTTTTCTTCTTGCAGAAAGACAGCAAAAATACTCTTTACTGATCTGGTGTACAGTTTGGGGGACACAAAACACTGCACATCATCACAAACACACCATCTCCACTGTGAAGCATGCTGATGGCAGCATCATGATGTGAACCATGGAGGTGGCAGCATCATGATGAGGGGATGTTTCTCGTCAGCAGGCCCTGAAAGATTTGTAAAGGTAGAGGGTCAAATGCATTCAGCAAAGTATCGGGAAATCCTGGAGGACAACCTGGTACAGTCTGCAAGAGAACTGAGACTTGATTTCCAGCAAGACAGTGAGCCGAAGCAAACAGCCAGAGCTGCACAGAAATGGTTTAAACTCAACAAGGTGAATGTTGTGGAGTGGCTGACTCTGAGCCCACACCTCAATCCAACTGAGAATTTGCAACTGGACTTAAGAAGAGCTGATCACTCACAGTCTCTGGGTAACTTGACAGAGCTTGAGCAGTTTTGTGAAGAAGAATTTTTGAGCATCGAGATGTGCAAGGCAGACTGAGGCCTATCCAGACAGGCTCAATGCTGTACCTGCAGCCAAAGACGCACCTGCAAAATACTGACTTGAAGGGGGTGAATATTTATGCTATCACATACTGTCCGTGTGTAATTGACAATACTTTGTGAAAATCTGTTTTCATTTGACATGAAATAGTCTTTATTTTGCAAATCCTGTAAAAAAAAAAAAAAAAGAAAAGCCACATGAAGTTGACCATGATTCAATGTTGAAAGCAATAACAGGACAAAACTTCCAAGGGGACTAAATACTTTTAATAGCCACATCTTCTACTTTTGCACTTGCTGCCTTTGTTTGTACTCTGTGTCATAAATTTTGTATACATTGTGTTCAGTCGCACACAGAAAGTGGCAACTGTTGCGTATGTCACTGGACCTGCAGCTCACGTTGGCTAATCTTTCTCCTTTTGTTTGTGCACACATCATCTGTTACGTAAAGAAATTGTCAACACTTGAAACCGAATATCGCCTCTGACTGAGCATGTGAGCCAAAGTGGGAGGGGAGTGGCGCTTTGTGTTCCTTCTTTTGTTTGACAGCGTTTATCTAAAGGGGACCTCCTTCCTCAGAGAGAAAACTGAGGACAGGAGAGAGTGATGTCGCTCTTCCTCCCTCCTTCCATATCAGAAAGTGGAGTTTATGTTCTGACAGATGAGGTCAGAGCTTCAAAGCAGCTCCCGCCGCCTTTGTTCGGAGGTCATGGGTGGGAGGAAAGGTGTTGCCCTGAGCTCCTATTTAGCATGACCGTACTGTAAATCTGTCATGTCGTCTGTAATGTGTTTGTGTATGTTCTGCCTCTGAAAAACTCCACCAAAACCTAAGTCATCTTCTCCCAGACACATTTCTAAACGTGTTTATTTATTCAGTTGACAGGTAAATAACATGTGCCTTGTGTTTCAGGCTAAAGGGAAGGAGCGGCAGTGGTTGAAAAACCAGGCGCTGGGAGAACTGGACGACGCTAAAATCATTGATGGACTAACCGGAGAGAAGGCTATATATAAACGCAGAGCAGAGCTGGACCCAGAGGTGTGTGTGTGTGTCGCTGCAGATATTCAAACCACGCTTAAACTTTCTTTATTTTTATCAGCCACACCTCCAAACACCAGCGCACACTCCCAGACACACATAATTTTGACCTTTATCTGTCAGACGGTACATTCCGGCGGTGTGTGCGAGATTATCATGTTTCTGCTCGAGCTCACACACAGTTTCCAGTCATTTCTTGTGCTGTCATGTATGCTCTGGTGAGCCCACAGCGCAGAGATAGTTCCCACAGTAATCACACAAACACACACTAACCATAATATGCATGTTTTTCTAGCGTATTTAGCTCCAAGTGTTGCATATTTTTGGTCTGGCCTGAAAGTCCGCATTGAAGTAATTGCACCCAGTTTTGAAACCTTGGCCTTGTGTTGAACGTTATTTTAAGAAAGCTACACCAGAATCAACAAAACGCTGTCCGTAGTGGGTATTTTACTTGCTTTTAGTCATTAGTTGCGACTGTGTTTCCTTAAAAATGGTGTGTTTTGTGTGTTCGTCTCCTCACCTGCTTACAGCTGGGCAGTCCTCAGCAGAAGCCTAAACGTTTACGGGTGCTGGCGGACGTTTCAGGCAGCATGTACCGCTTCAACGGTGTGGACGGCAGGCTGGAGCGCTCCATGGAGGCTGTGTGTATGGTCATGGAGGCTCTGGAGAGCTATGAGCACAAGTTCAAGGTGAGGACACTGTTTTCACCTCAACCCATCACTATCGTCTAAGTGACTTTTCCTCAATGCATCAGGTGATGGATAACTGCCATGTATGCATTATATGCATTGTCTCATTAAAAATTTGCAGTAAAGATTCAATATCCCATATTTTGCCCCTTTTCAGCATCTTAATGAAAGTCTTACATGTCCTTAGAATGTGTCTCTCAACTCAGAATACCAGAGAAGTGGTTCATTTTACCATGACTGTATAACCCTTGGCTTTAGTCCTGCTATAAACACACTGTTTCAGTGTCTTGAACGTATAATGCAGCTGATCTGCTGCTGTCTCTGCCCCCTTCAGGAACAACACTCTCTCTGCATTTGTGAATGACAGTGTGGATTAACAGTTGACAGCACAGCAGCTATTGGTTCAAAATGTCTCCCTTTGCTGTGGAAATGTCTCTGAATTCTTTGCACAGCCGTTACGGTTTATATGAGCACAGAGAGCAGGAGAGAAGTTGACAGATGGAACTGGCTGAATTTAGGCTGCTATGAAAACAGACGTAACCCAGCCAGTCCTTCTTTTCTGGTTTCAAATTGAAGTTTGCCTTGCACCGTCTCTGACTGTCCCTCAGTGTGACAGTTTCCATCTGTGGGCAAACCATCAAAGCTAATGTTAGCTACAATAGCCGCACAGTATGCTTTTTGTTGTTGTGGGGACAATGCTAGCAATAGTAAAAGTAGTCCACTGAGTGTTCAGTTCCTCCAGTGTCAAGTAAATAGGAGAGAGGACCTGAAATCCTGACCTCAAGCTGAAGAAAAAAATTGTTATTAAGCCAATTTCATTAAATCACATCAACTAATACAGAAATTTGAATTTAAATTACACACAATATCAGACTGATGCAACGTTATTATGTCAACCCAACTCATCTGAATGTGTTGGAACCCAAAAGTTTTATTTAAATCATTTAATTAGGACGCTGCTGTAGCTCACCTGGTTGAGCTGGTGTCCCATGTACAGGGGCTATAGTCCCTGACACGGAGGTCATGAGTTGGAATCCCGCTCATGGCCTTTTTCCACAGGTCCTTCCCCTATTCTTCTCCCCCACTTTCCTGCCTCTCTCTCAACTGCACTCTCAAATAAAGGCAAAAAGGCCCCAAAAAAAAACTTAAAAAAAAAAAATCATTCAATTTGTTTTTTTTTTCTTTTCTTGCAACCATTCATTCAATGATATTACTCTTTAAAATGCAATAACAGGGGTCAAGTAGCCACGAAATTCATTCCGCATTAGCGCTGTGAGGTTTTATGTACAGAATTCCTGAGTCAACAAACTTTTCCCCCCTTGTGGTTTAATGAATGAATCAGAACATTGAGGTCATACTGTCATTTTGGGTCCTCGAGTTGTCTAGTTTTTCATGTAACACAGGTGTTGGCTGCTATTGGTAAGTATGAGTGGACACATTTCATGGAAAATGATGAGTCAGCATCAGCCAGGAAAGTCAAATCATCGGATGAACAGAAGAAGTGAAAGAGAGAGCAATGAGAGGCATGAGTGTGGGCAGAAAAGTTGAAGGGAGACAGACTTCTTGGCCCCTAAGTGACACTTAACCCAACCTAATACTGATCACATATCACGCACGCACAGTTCCACATCACATACCAGTCTAAGTTCACTCTGTGCATAACACAACTTACATAAAAGTGCATCTGATAACACACACACCACTTCATGCTAACTGCAATCTTGTGTTGTGTGTGTCTCAGACTGACACATATCCATTAATAGTGGGAGTTCAAATTTCTGTTTGAAACCGTGCTTGTAAATAGAGGTGGCATGATGGAACATTAGTCTTAAGAATTTGTCACTTTATAGTTTCATGCCCTATTTATTTTTCACCCCGCAGACCCCATTCACGAGCCAGAAATGGAACAAAAAAGCTTAAATGTCAAATAAAAAGTTACATTTTTGAGATTTTAAATAGACTGTGTATAAATATAGAAGTAAATGGATTTCAGGATTTCTTAACTTCTGATATATAAACACCAACATTTTTTTTTTAAACGTGTAGTCAAAAAAAACCCACCAAAACACATGCTTCCTACCCAGCAACAGCGATATTGATGGATGAGACACACAGTCGCATACCTTTGACCACCACAGTCATAACTGCCCTTAATAGCAGTAGCCCATATACATAATACCTGGGTCCTGAAATAGCTGGCTGGAGCCCACAGTGCCCGGCTGACCCGGCCTTATGTAAGTCCGTTATGATGGATGGTCTATGGGAGGCATGCATGCATCTGACAGGGTTAACATACTGTAGTGGGTGCTGCTGGGAGCGAGGATAGCCTTGTGTAAGTTACGATCTGAAGTCTCCGCACCATCGCACCTGTGTCTTTACACTTCATCCAAAAGTGCTATTCTAAGTGCTGTATGAGGATGTTACTACGTGGGGTTACATAAATGTCTGGGCTGTGTAACAATTAAAATATCGGTGTACATTTTAAATTTGTCATGTCTTCTGTTTTCTCTACACAGTACGACATTGTGGGTCACTCAGGCGACGGCTACGACATCGAGCTGGTCTCAGCGAACAAAGCCCCCAAGAATAACAAACAGAGACTCAAAGTCCTCAAGGTACAGATTCATTAACAATCCAGTCATGCCTACTTTAAGACTGAAACCTGGGGTTTGTATTTCTTTCTTGCGAAACTTTGTGTTCAAATGCAGCTGAAAGTACAAGGAGTGATCAGGAAGTTCAGAGACTATAAAAATCAAAAAGCATGCCTGATTTAAATTTGGCCACCATCACCAGTAATTTCCTTGTGCAGTGATACTCTGCCCCCAGTGCTCCTGCAATGCTTGTAATGCTCACTGGAAGTCCCGTTTTGCAAAAATGTCAAGCACCATTAGTGAAAGCTATGAGAACTGAATTGACTAAACTGTGTTAAGATGGCGAACCTTAAACTTGACTTGTAAGAGGTTACATTAGCCAAATTGGTTGAGAAGGGCAGATGAAGTGAGAAGTGAAGATTGTGTTGTGAACAAAAAATCAGTGTGTAATCACAGGTTGATGCTGTGACCAATTCAAGCATCCACGTAATATTGAATCACAGCTGAGGTTGTTTGCACCGACTTCAACGCCTTCACGGTGCACAACCACGTGAATGTCAGAAAACATTGAGCATGCTCCTGATGCTGTGAGCTGCTGTTTCTTCTCTTTGCTTGTTAACATCATTGTTATGATTAGTTTTAAGACATCCTGCTTCAAATGCAACCGAACACTTGATGCGTTTCTAATTTAAGATTTTTGTCGAGGTCAATGACTGCCGTCCCTCTGTCCCACTTTGCATGTTCTCAAAAACAGTGAATGTTCTAGACAGGAGAAGAAGCTACGACTGTGTGAGAGGAGATATGTGGCACATCTTATGTACTAAAATTTTGCCCCCAAAACCACCAATTGTTCATCCGCAAAGCTTCGAATAAAAGAAAACAGACAGCAGTTTGCAAATTCTGTAATGCAACACTCACTGAGATGGCAGGGACCACATCAAACTAAAGGTAAGCTGAGTGTAAGGAGTCTAGCTAGCTATCTAATGTTAGCTATCTGCCTGTGGACTGAAACACTTTATTGTAGGTGTACTGTGCACTGTGGGGCTCACACGTGTCTGGTTCTGGGTTTAACTTAGTCTAAACCCCTCAAAGTCTTGGTCTTGTCTCGGTACACTCTGGTCTTGCTCTCAATTTAGATGGTCCTGACCATAGCAGTATCCAGTGGCATCAAGTTAAGCAGACAATTTTGACTTTTTTGTCTCGGGGAGATGTTTTTGAATAAAACCTGGGGATGCAGATCTCTGTAGTCCGCCACTCATCTAACAAATGTCTGTTGCCTCGCCCTGCAGACCATGCACGCCCATTCTCAGTTCTGCATGAGTGGCGACTACACTCTGGAGGGGACAGCGTTCAGCATCAAGGAGCTGGCGCAGGAGGAGGCGGACGAGCACTTCGTGGTGGTGCTGAGTGACGCCAACCTGGAGCGTTACGGCATCCGGCCCGAGCGTTTTGCCCAAGTCTTGACGTCTGACCCACAGGTCAACGCCTTCGCCATCTTCATCGGATCCCTCGGCGATCAGGCTGAAAGGTGAGGAGGTGGGGACAGGGAAGTACAAGCAAAAAACTGTTGAAGTTACAGTTATAGAGGTAAAAGGAAGAATGTGGAATGTTGCCTCACCCCAACTGGTCGAGGCAGATGGCTGCCCTCCCTGAGCCTGTTTTTTATTTTTTTTATTTTGTCCTTCCACTAAAGGGGAGATTTTCTTGTTCCTTCCCATTGTCGAGGGAATCAAAAGGAAACTTTGGATTTGTTGGGTCTTCCCCATAATTTGAACTGAATTGAAAAGATAATAGAGACAGAAGGGGAAAATGTAAAGGGGAGGACAGTTAGTGATGAAAGAGGAGCAGAAAAGTGGATGAAGGGATTCAAAGAGCTTCCCATCTAATAAAGTAATGATTGAGTCAATTTGAGGGATCCGTTGCTCAAAGTTAATCTTGACTGCAGCCAGTCGTCCGAAGCCAATAAAGACACACTGGACTTCAAAGTTAAGTGGAAGAGTGACCAAAGCTGAGGCCGACTCATGTTGCTGCCTGCCGCTCGTCCTGCTCACCTTTGTTGTCCCGTGTCGGATTAAGTCCTGAGCTTTGCAGGCAGAACAAAAGAGTTGTAAGTGCAGCCTGAAGTCCGATCCTGCCTCCGCTTGACATTCAGCTCCAGGCTTCTACTGTAGCTCCGAGCCAGACTTACATCCTCTCTGCCTTTGAGGCTTTCAAGAGCTGCTGGCCTCATGGCTAGAATGCAGCCGAAGGACCTTCAGAATGACAACGACCCTGAGAAGAGCAGGAACAGCCAGACAGAAGCTAAAGAGTAAAAGCAAAGAAAGAGATAAAGGGAATACTCTTTAACCCAAGGTCAGTTTACTCACAATTCAAAGACAGTTCATGTCAGAATGGAGCAATAGGACCAAAAGTAATATATTTACATGTCGTAGAAGCATGAAAACATGTGAATGTAGTTATGAAAAGATGTAGACTTACGTAATATTACATTTGGGCACTTGAGAAATATTATTTTTCTATTTATGCTGACTGCCCATGCTTGTTTCTGTTTTCCCAGAAACTCCAAGTAGTTTCTGGCTGTTTCTTCACTCCCGCCACATTTTTACTGCAACATAAAGTCCTGCACCTCTATGGAAACAACTTGGCCAGGACTAGAAGGAGAAAGAACTCTGTGTAGCACAACACACTTAGAAGAAGTAAAACGAAAGTTGCGTTTCTTTGCTGATTTGTTTTACAAAAGTTGAAAAAACCTGGAGATAACGTGTCCCACATTTTCACCCACAGGTTTTACCAACACTGGAAAAAAATGGTGACTCTACAAATGATGGATATTTTTCTGGTCACTTTTAATTTCTCTCCAGACTTATCACCTTTCTGCTCTAAGTAATTAGCCTGCAGCTCATTCAAAAAGTTTCTGTAATTGTAACTGTTGGTTGCCGCTGAGTCACTTATGACATCATGGTTACAGCAAAAAGTGCAGATTTTTTTGTTTTTTGCAGAATTGGATCAAAGAAAACAGTTGATTTTTGTTGAATTTTTAAGTGAGACAGATTAAAAAGATAAAACAATTTTGATGAGGTATTTCTTGTGTTGATTCTGAGCCATCCAGGTCATGATAATCTGAACTGAACAAGCTGCCTGGATGAGACGTGAAATTACTTCAAGAACCAAAAAGAAACGTCTAGTTGTCTTCTGCTGAAGCTCTTATAATTTTGAACTCCCACATAATTCATTTAAGAACCATCTAAAAGTTAAAATGTTAAGATTCTTCCTGTTTTTACAGTTCCTGTCTCTGATAAATGGTCTAATTTTAGGGATTTGTTTCTAAACAACATGCTTTTTAAACTGCCTGGCAGGTTTTGGGGGTTTAGAGGGTTAAGAATTTAGAAAAGGAGATTGCATAAGCAAATGGGGCGTACAAATGATTAAAATTCAATGGTAGCGGCCGTGTTGTTTTGTTCCTTTCATGCACAGCTCTTTCATTCATACACTGTACTCCTTCAGTGGAAATGTCAAGAACCAATTCACACAGCAAACAAGGACTCGATCTGTCTTTTTATTTTGGGAAATGATGCTAATCCTAAAGTTCAGTTCCTCTGTTTAACCCCAAAACTTGTATCTTTTTTTGTTTCAGACTCCAAAAGACGCTTCCAGCAGGGAGATCCTTTGTTGCCATGGACACCAAGCAGATCCCCCAAATACTGCAGCAGATCTTCACATCCACCATGTTGTCCAGTGCCTGAAGCACACACAAACACAAGCTCTTGTTTCTTATCTAACTCACTCAAAACCTCAAAGTTCATCAGACTTTGGCAGTGACTTATCACAATGTGTCCTATAAGGAGAACTCTGGTTTATCTCAACCTGGTGTGTTTCTCATTAATATGACGAACGCTAACTTTGCTCTCTTTGTCTTTGTTGTAGAGATTCAGGGAAATGAAGAGTCACACAAAACAGAATGTGAATGTCATTTATCTGGGCTGGTTAGCATGAGCAGCTGGCCTGCAGCTTTCCAAAGAAAACTGATTTTTACATTTTAAACGTTACACCAGTTTGTTTCAAAGTGTGAGTCTGACTTTGACTGTGAGGCAGTAAGACAACAGGACATCCTGCAGAACTGGAGATGGTGCTTCACCTCCCTGAAATCAGCCAGAAGAAAAGACATAAAAAGCTAAAGCTAACACACTTAGAAAAGACTCAAAAACAAAACATGATTCTTGTAAAAAACTAAACAACTCTGCCTTCTTTGGAAAGCAGCAGGGAGCCCATGCTAAATTACCAGCTGCTAAGAGATTACAAAGTTAGCTTGACACCGATGGTACGCATCCACAGGATTCGTCATTTCAGCGCTTCCTATTTATTGAAAGCAGCCGTGCAACGCGTCCTTCTAGCGTCAAGGTGCATTTCCTGACATGCTGCCTGTTCCTCATTTGCATAAGATTGATATCTAGGCTACTTTATGCAAATCTGGTGTCTCCAGAGCGATTCCACCCTTCTGGAAGCTCTTGAAACACTTTTGAAAGTCTTCGTTCAAATGCATTTTAAAGTAGATTGCTTGTTAAAAAAAAGTTCAGAGTGTGTGCAGTGATACTCTGCTTCCAGTGCTCCTGCAACGCTTGCAACGTCCAGTTATGTAATCATGCAAAGTTCCATCTGTGATGAGCTGAATCTTTTAAACTGGGTCAAAACCTTTAACTTGATTTTCATTTTGGGGAAGAGGTCACAGGGGGTCAAATATAGTGATCAGGGCAGAGGTTGTGTTGTTGTGGCCAAATAAATGTGTGTAATCCCCACATTGTGTTTTCAGAAACACATTTTGATTAACTTTTTCCCAACAAGCTGCTGTGTTGGTCCAATATGAAATCCAGAAGCAGACAGGCCACCGGTGAAGTGTTTATCTGGTCAGGTGAAGCCAGTGTTTGGACAGTTGTAGGAGGGTGGAGCCTGTACTGGTTCCTTGATGAGTCCTTTCGCATCCATGTGGATATGTACCGTTAGAGCACCAATAATCCGATTCATTGCAGATATTCCAGGTTGAAATACAGCAGAATTCTCCTTTAACTGGCTCTCTGTATCAGATCTTGTGACCTTATCAGAGCTGTATCAGATCTGGAGACTGGAAACAAGGCCGTATTTATTATTTTCAAGTAGCCTTCAGTCTGTCAGCAACATGTGACGATGTTGCGTTGGCGTGACACAGCTAACTCATGTTTTGTAGTGTTCCTCTGGGAATAGGTAGCGCTCACAAACAGCCTGTGATGTTGTGCAGTATGACTGTGGCGGTGTTATTATAAAACGCCTGGAGCCAGACTCCGACCCCATGTGGGGATCAAACACGCAGCATAACCTGTTGTTGTTTTTAATTGTGTTTTTCTGCCGACGGCAAGGTGACGCACACAGTCATTGGCCTATTTTGGGTCGACAGAAACTCGGAGGCGGGGGGAGGAGGGTCGCGAACTTGACACAGCCCCACGTATTTTGGATTTCCTCCTTGTTCGTCGTGTGTCACACAAAAACGCGCAGACACTTGCAGGAAGGGTGGCACTAACGCAGCCCTCTGACACTTCAAAACGCCCGGCGGCCATAACTCGGCTCCTGTGGAATGCCGGGACTGTGACCAGGGAATTTCCCACCTGACTGCACACGCTCTTTAAAGGCTGCCGCTGTTGCACAACCCCCTGCTGTGTGTGTGTATGTGTGTGTGTGTCTGTCTGTGTCTGTGTGTGTTCTCCTACAGCATCTATGTCAACATGCACAAGCCCTTTTCCTTCCTGGCTGCTGGACTTTGTGAGTCTCAGATCGCCTTTCGTCGCCGGACCTCCCACTCCTCGTCCTCTTTCTCAAACGCTTACAGCTGATGGGATCCCAGTTAACACAGAAATGTGTTGAGACTAAGTGCGCTCAGGCCTGTGCACTAAAAGACCTTATCAGTATCTTGTCTGGTTGCCACTATCCAGCACTGATGGGATCAATACAGCAGCCTGTCCATCTATCAGTTTGTATTGATCGTCCTGTTGGCAGACGGATGTCCCTGGTTTCTATTAACCCACTTTAATCTCTGCTGATGAAAAGTTTTGTTTGGCAGCCGTTTAATAATGTGCGTAACATAACACACTTTGAATATAGTTAGAGTTATTTAATTGTACAATGTTGGTCATTTATCGTGGGATAAATTGTAAAAGTAATGTACAAAAATGTAATAAATCATGTTAGCGCTGCTTGTACGTGGTTCATCTTATTACAAAGTCAACTTTACTGATACAGCTGGAGGTAGCATAACTACTGTACATGTTTAAAAAGCCGGCAGCAGCAATAAATATGAGCAGAAACGCAACAAAAACAAGAGGGAAAGATGTAAGATTAATAAATATAAAACAAAAGAATATTACAGACCCTCTTCTGTGAAAATCCTTTTTTTTTTTTTTTTTTGCCTCGCTAGCATGTCAGTAGGATGTTTTTTTATTTGCTAAAAGACACATCATGAGTGAACTAAGCAGTTAAAGCCTTTGGTTTGGCGTTTCTACCTTGAACCTTCAGTGTAATAATAAAAGTCTCAAAAACACAGATTCAGACTTCCAGGGTTTCATATGTAACACACCTAAAGAACTCATCCTGATATCATTATTCTTCTTCAGAATCATTTTCTGGTTCAAACATTTACAGCTGAATTAGTCCAATATTACACGATGCCACTAGTTGGGGAAGTTAAACAGGGTTTAAGCAGAATCGAAGGCGACACGGTGTGCTCGAGCTGTATTGAAAAGATTATTTAAAAATGTGGCACTTTTATACACAAAGATGAGTGACATGCCTTTTGAACAAAACCTGCTCAAAGAGTATGCTAGTTTAAAAAAATATCGCAAAATTATACCATTTATCAGAGCAAAGAATCATCAAACTTTCAACTGTCCTTGAACTGATCATATGTAACGTGCAGTTCTGCTTTGAAAATTTGAAATTGTAATATTTCGTTCAAAATCACTTTAACTGACATGAACATACATTTGATGAAAAATGTAAATTTGCCAAATATCGACTGCTTGCTCCAACCATACTGTAAAAAACAAAAGCATCTGCACTCTTTGGTGCAACTGGGAAGCTATCAGTGACTCAACTACTACTAATGGTCATATGAGGAAAACTGAGAGACTTATTGGTTGAACTGCAGGCAGTGTTTACACAGAGCAGAGCTGAGATAAGTGTGGAAACAAATAAAAAAATGTAAGTAGTAAAGCATCTATAGTTATATATATATATATATATATTTATAGTTAGTTCAATCATTTCTGTGCACAAAACCTTTGGACACGTTTAGGACAAGTTTTTTCCATTTTTGTAAATTAAATGAAGAAATGCAACTTTATTTTTATGATTTATGTGATTCTACCAGAGTCATACTGAACAGAAGACATTTCTGAACTCTCTCTCCTCCTTCATGGTTTTGCTGTTTCCACTGAGGTGCAGGACTTTACGCTGCACGGAAACTTCTTGGAGTTCAGCGGGTTAAGCATTTTAAAGCAGCATACAAATATTTAAACAGGGGTTATAACCCACTGTGACGTCATGCTCGACATCTATGGCGTATTTATTACAGTGTTATTAGTCAAACCAGCGGTTTGTCTTCACACTGTGTTATTATGTTGTATATTTTTCTGCAGGAGACCAGAAGCACTTCGTACTTAGAAACCAGAGGAACTTCTTAGAATCTCCCAGCGTTCGGCTGCCCCCCTCATTTCCTCGAGGTCACTTTTTCCATGTGTTGTAATGATGCCTTGAGTCGACCGCAGCCCACCATCGCTGCTGCTGCTGCTGCTGCAGCCAGAACAGCTCCGGCTCTGACACTGTCTCCTGAACCCAGCAGGCTCAGCTGATACTGTTGTTGTTGGGTTGTTATGCTTCACAGCCTCTTCCTTCCCTGTATTGAGAGTACTGAGGAGTATATATGTGCTCTTTCTAACTACCACGCTGCCTCCTCTGTTTACCCCAGACAGGTTTGTGAACTAACTGGGATCACATCCTGTCTGGCAGAGGATTTAATTCCAAGATGCATCCAACTGGTGAAGCTTCTTTTGTTTCATTTATTGATTGATTGATTGATTGATTGATTGATTGATTGATTGATTGATTGATTGATTTCAGACATGACACAACACCATAAAGGCAAAACAGTAAGAAAACAACTGGTACAAAATGAAAAGAAATTCAAAAGTAGGATGAAGTTAAACTTATTACCTCCTACCTGCTACATGTACAGCTCATATCTTCATGTTTGCTTTTGCATTTAAACCTGATTCTTCTATACATCTTCAGAAACCCCAACAACAACACATTATTGTGTTTTTCAAGCAGCCTTTTTTGTATATTTTCTTAAATTGTTCATGCCCAATTTAAGATTGTTGTCTTGAAAACATCAGATAACTTCCAGGGAAGTCAGCTTCTAGGTTGAACAGTGAAATTTACAATAAATAAATGACTTTTTTATTGCTTTTTTAAAATATAATGTTTCAATATACAAAATGTGGTATTGTATATGTAAAAACAACCTAATATGCATTTATTTCCAAAACAGAAATCTAAATGTTGAATGAAGTCAGCTTTAGTTTTTATTTTTTTATTTTTTTAAAGACAGGAGTAAACCTCTAAAGTTTGGTGCTGCTGGATCAGAATCAGTTTTATTGCCAAGCAGGTTTTCACATATGACACATTTTGCTTAGTGTTTTGATGCATAACAGTAAAAACTGTTGAGTACAAGTTCAGCAAGTCCAAAGTTCTATATAAGTGCAGAAATGTGCAAACTATTCACCCAATAAGGTGCAAGATGCCAACGTATATAGTGTAAACAAGTAGAAATATGCAGAGGATAATAATAATACTATCTAAAGAGCTGTGTGTTCATGTGAGGCTCTGGCCTTATGAAGGAGATATCTGACTAAGAATACGAAAAAAAAAAAATATAAAACAGTCTTTACAGTTGTGTACTATTGTTAAAATCTACAAAACACAAATAGTCAAAATGCAGGTAATTAAACAGCTAAGTGTGTGTGTGTGCGTGTGCGTGTGTGTGTGCATGTGTGTGTGCGTGTGCTCTCTCTGCATTGGTCTGAACCAAGACATTTATGAAAGCATAATATGAAAACTCTCACATTTGACCAGTGCAGGCTTGTACGTTTGGTCTGGTGGTAAACGACAGAGTTGTTGATTTCACGTCACGCTGTGTGTTTGGATAAACAGCTCTGTGGTGTCATTACAAGCTGCTCCACCTTCTGCTTCGTTCACACACTTTATCAGCCTGGATTTGTCAATGACAAACTGACTTAGAACGACTTCATCCTCGTGTGTGGTGACGCCGACACAGAGGTACGACGTCCAGACCGGCTGGGTGTTGCAAGTCAGTGTCGGGTTTGTGTTTGCTTTGTGTTGCAGGTTCATGTGATCTAAGTGTGCGTCAGTCAGTTTCTCTTTTGTGCAAGTTTGAAGGAAAAGTCAGCAGAAAATCTGATTGAAGCTAGTTTTGGACACTTTGGACTGTGACGAACACAGATTCAGGCCGTGTGGTGACTGTGGGGAGAAACTGACTGATCACTGTGACTGATTGATTGATGAATTGATTGCAGCCCTCGTAGCAGCACAGTGAACAACGTAAAGTTTTTTTCTGAGCAGCAGAAACAAAACATGAGAGCTGATGTTCCTTGTAGATTACTGCTCAGATTACTTTGATGTAATAACTTACTAAATTTAAATTACTCTGCATTTTTCCAAATTAGTCATGTAATCTATTGGACTACGAAAGAATGTAAACTATTGTGTTAGTGTTCATCCTTATCGTTGATCAGTGTGTTCTGCTGTTTCTTTTGTCTTATTTTTTTATTGCAGGTCTTAAATCAAAACCAAAAAAAGGGTTTTTGTAACACAAGAGGAGTACTAAATCAAAAATAATTCGCATAAAAGAAATAAAACTCCATTTGCAATAACTCACTATTAAAAAAAAACAAGAACAAAAATGAATAAATTCACAATTAGAAACCTGAGGAGAGAATTCTTTTAATATACAGAAGCAGGAAAATGTAATCAGTTACTGAATATTGGCTTGAATAGTAATTAGTAATGTATCCCATCTGATCACAAAAAGTGGTCTAATCGGATCATTTCACTGAATATAATAAAATCTTGGACCTCATATTACAGAAGTGGATGCAGCAAGAAAAGTTTGAGTTAAAAAATACCATTTCCTCTAATTACAAATGAAATTCACCTTATAAAAACCACACTGGCACAAACTAAAGGTGAACCGTGTGTTTTCTGCTTTGTCTTTTGTCTGAGCTTTGGTTGCTGCTGTTTGTAGTCCAAGGCCATGAAGACTTTGCTCTTGTAACCTAATTAAGAAAAGAATAAAACTGTCCTGTCAGTAACTCACAATTAAAAAACAAGAACAAAAATGAGCAAAGTCATGAACAGAGCTGGAAGTCTGAGAGGAGAAACTCACTTAGATATCCAGTAATATGAAGATTATGTAATCCATGACAACATAAGAACCATCTGGGCTCATTAAACGTACTTATTTTTTTACAATTCAGTTTTCCACATTACATGGAAGTGATTTCCGACCAGCCCAGTTTGTTGCTGCAGGAATGTCACCTGCTTAATGGACCTGAGAATGTCTCCAGAACACGTGTGCGTCATGTGTGGTTTTATGAGCGGCTCTGTTTGTTTATGTGCAAACTGCTGCATGTGGGAGAGTTTCCTGCTGAACAACACTGGAACCAGGAGAAAAGGAAGCTTCTCTGCAATCCTAAACACCAACATGGAGATTTCAATATTTAAAGCATAGAAGGAGCAAAAGGACCTTTATTTTGAAAATCTTTACTCAGAGACGCAACAACATCTGCAGGTTGTTTTCCTTCAGCACGTGATCCACAAATATAAGTTATAAATATGCAGAATGCTTCCAACATGAGCAAAGAAAAAGTGGATGTAGAAAGGTTACAAACAGAGGAGGAGTAAACAGGTTTGTTGAAACAGCAGCAATAATATAAAGTAAGAAAACTTGATCTACAGCAGAATAAATGACTGCATTCCATCATGTTTTCAGTTGTCACATGATTGTTTGTGTTTTATGTTATCAAATGTATTCCAATAGAACAAAATAAGTGCAAAAAGCTTTTTGTAAAAGAAATTAAAATATCAAAATAAGGCAAAGTCTGAATCAAAACAGGATAAC